CAATCCAAGCAACTGGGTCATGCTCAGATTCCAGCAATTGTAAAACTTTAGATATAATAAGGCAAGAACTTTGCTTCGCTTCAGTAGTCAAAATGAAGGGGCCCATTCACGGGCAAGAGCTGCAGTCCAAACCCAGCAGGAGGGCTAGGACATCCGAGGTGGGGGAGGCAGGGCAGGGTGGCCGGTACTACCTGTGGACTTGACAGTACAACAAAGAGATTCTTCTTATACAGTGCCAAACAGTCATCTAGGGAACACCTGAGAGGCTTCCGGAGCCCACAAAGCCTGGGGCAGGTCTCCACTTAGAGGAAGTGAGTGAACAATGTAATCAAAGAGGCATTATGAGGCACACAGTCGCTCCTGGAACAAAAGGACTACGCTAAGCATCGGACAACAGGCGTGCGCCATCAGACAGGCATGCACACTCAGACCTATACAGTCAGACAAGCACACGTTGTCAGACTGGCACACAGAGATGGGTACATACAACAATCAGCTAGGCACATACTGTCAGACAAGTACACGTAGCCAGACAGACAGACAGACAGACAGACGGTGTCAGATGGGTACACACTGTCAGACAGACATACAACATAATATGGGCACACTGTCAAACAAACACACTATCAGATGGGTATACACTGCCAGATAGTTACACATTGTCAGACAGGCACACACAGTCAGACGGGTGCATACAGTTAAACAGGTGCACACTGTACACACATAGGTACACACTGTCATATGAGGACACTCAGTCAGACAGGCACACACTATCTTATGGGCACATACTGTCAGACAGGTACACACTTTCATATGAGGACACTCAGTCAGGCAGACACACACAGTCAGACAGATACACACAGTCAGGCAACACACACTGTCATCTGGATACACACAGTCAGACAGGCACACGCTGTCACATGGGTGCACACAGTCAGGCAGACACACACATAAACAGTCAGACAGGTACATACTAGGTACGAAACTGAAGGAGCGATATGGAAAGGCTCTGTGTGAACGAGTGTGGCCAAAATTAAAGAAAACCACACAATCAACTAAGCTTACTGGGTTGCTTTCTCCTTATTGTTAAAAATTATGAGAACTTATATTTGAATATAAGACATATTCTTCCAACTTAAAACCGCACAGCAGTCAGTCAATTGCTGGAATGCAACCTTGCTGCAGTACAGTGTTCTTAGTCCATCAGGTCAGCCAATCTTAGAAGACCAACCTTTCTGGCCAAAGCGACACAGGCCAAGAGAATAATAACATGAATAAACATCCCATAGAAAACAGTGTGCTCTGGGAATGAGAGCACAGGACCAATTATGGGGCAGAGAAGGAAGAGGGTAGTGGGTATAGGCAGGAGTTGGTGCCCAGAGAAAACATTAGATTTTCACAGGGTTACTTTGAAAGACTATTTCCTTTGTGTGTGCGCACACATGATTCAGCACATATGTGGAGGCCAGTTTCTTCCTTCCACCTTTACATGGGTTGTAAGGATGAAACTCGGGTCTCTGGGATTACTAGACGAGCGCCTTTACCTGCTGAGCTACAGTGACGTTTAAGCATCTCACAGATCTGTCTTCAGCTTCTGGAACAATCCTGGAGGGCTAGAGATGGCCCAGTGGTTAAGAGCACTGGAGGACCTGGGTTCAATTCCCAGCACCCACATAGTAGCTAACAACTGTCTGTAACTCCAACACTCTCCTCTTACAGACATTCCTGCAGACTAGACATCCACAGATAAAATAAGCAAATATCTACCTAAGGGCTGGAGAGATGGCTCTGCAGTTAAGAGCACTGGCAACTCTTCCAGAGGACCCAGGTTCAATTCCCAGCACCAACATAGTAGCTAACAACTATCTGTAACTCCAACACTCTCCTCTTACCGACATTCCTGCAGACTAGACATCCACAGATAAAATATCTACCTAAGGGCTGGAGAGATGGCTCCTTAATTAAGAGCACTGGCAACTCTTCCAGAGGACCCAGGTTCAATTCCCAGCACCAACATGGCAGCTCATAACTGTAACTCCTGTTCCGGGAATCCAACACCCTTACACAGATACACATGCAGGCAAAACACCAATGCACATAAAGTAAAAATAAATAAATGTTTAAAAATCTTTACTTAAACAAACTCCTATATATCAACCCAATTGTCTTCAATGAAAACAAAATGGTAATCCTTTTGATAATGGGATTGGATCTTGTCTAGGAGAAATTTTAAATCCATGGTTGCTGGCTAAGGACCTCTGAAATTAAAGCAAGAGAAATTCATGCCCGCATCATCCAGCCAACTAAGTAGCGAATGCAGGTGGGTAGGGCCAGGAGAGTTTTCATATAAGAACATTTTTAAAAGGTACCATTGTGACAGAATACGTCTATCCTACTGAATGGTCCCAAGAAACACAGGAATTGGTACTTGACGTCCCAGAGTAGACAAAGACTCCTGAAGATCAGTTTTTAAACCACTGTATGTAAAGTCATGAGTTTACAAGAAAACTTGATACTTTAAGTGTCCCTAAGAAGGGAATGAATGAAAGACAAAGAGAAAGATTCCATAGAAAGACAGGAAGCTACACATAGATTCAAAAGCTTCTCCCAAACTGACTGTGCTCTAATCACTTAAAGGTGTGTCTTCTAGTAACTGAACATCAAATATCATCATTTCTCCCAAGTGACTGTCTAGATTTCATTCTTTTTAGTTCTTACAAGATCTTTCATAATTAGGACAATTACTAACAAATACTGACAATCACAGAAAAATATGATAGAGGAAAAATCCTGGGGTTTTTTTTGTCATAATGTAAAGAAAAACACAGTATTGTCAGTTTTCCCAATATTCTGATATCTCTGCTATTTTTGGAGGGAAAAAAAGCCAAAACAAATATTCTATGTGTGTTGTAAAAAATAACTAATGGCATATTTCTCAATATAGATATGTGTTCTTACAAGCTTTCTTCTCCTTTCTCAACTTGAAAAACCCTTATAACCTGGTGTGCCAGCCAGGTGTGCCTCATCTGAAAGGCAAATGGGGAAACAGGCTCCGCCCCCTGCTTATTGCTCCAGTCTCACTGCCAGCTCTTTTTATGCAATAGATGAAGCTGGAAGATTAAGAGCAGGGGTGAGGGTAAAATCCTGCTAGCCTCACTGTATTTCTAACAGAATTCCTCGGCCCCGTTTGGTCCTTGTTCAATTACGGCCTTCCCTTTGTCAAGCATGACGTCAGTTTAATTCACACTCTTGTCTCTGCACTGAGCAAGAACTGGTCTCAGAGAAGGGTGGGAGTACAGAGCTCCAAACCACTTTGCACGGCTTAGCAACGTGAGAAAGAAAGTGTCTGGCTTCCATGAGTAAAATACAATGGCAAATCCAAGATATACACCGAGGCATCCAGCAAGTCGGGGCCTGTGACAGGATGCCAGATAATCAAGCAGAGTGGCTGACTCCGTTGGCTGGTAACCCAATATGGTGGCCTTTTTCAAGCTGAAGAATTAAACCTAGATCGAGGGCAACAGAAAGACTTTACCTTCGGAAACATTGGTATCCTATTCCTCCCTGACACTATCACAAGCTGCATTCTGGTTGGCACTCCCACTAAGACAGAGATCAGAATAGCATTCACTCACCCCCCTCAGGCTCCCCTGTCTGGTGGGGGGTGAGACAAGCTCCATGACACTATTGTTACAGGATTTTTGCCAAAGATGCTTGTGCTACTATCCACCAAGTAAGCCCACACACAAATGAGCTGTTAATGAACTACAAACGATGAGGAAACAGTTCTAGCTAAAGACTTGAGACTAATTAACCAGGATAAAAAATATCCAGGCAAAGCAGAAAAAGACCAGGAGTTCCCAGGGCAGTTTCCCACAGGCAACTACTCTGGAAAACACTACACTGACGGACACCTGTCATTCATTACACGTTTGCTCAAACCCACGGGAATAAATACCCAGGGCGAGCTCTAATGTAAGCTAGGAAGTCCAAACGAGGCAGGGCTCGCTCCAGAGGGTGGAGGGAGGAGCAAATGGCCTGCACCTGCACACAGGATAATGGATGAGGACTGGGAGGCCATGCATATGTGAGGGAGGGGGCAGGCGGAAAACATCCATACCCTGCTGATCCGTCTTGTGCATCTTTAAAACTCTCTTTAAAAACTCTTCTTTCTTTTAAACCCCAAGCCCAGTCCTCAAACTCTCTTACTGGCCTATAACTGTTTACAAAAGAAATGGACAAAAGACAAAGGCCAAAAAGATGACTCTATTAGGAAACATTCCCTAGGAGACTCATGGTCTTTCTTTTCTTGCTTTCCCTTCTGTTACTTATAAACCACCATTGGAAAGCCCCATTTATCGGAGAAGCATGTCTGGCGACTTCTATAAAACTCGAAATTGCCAGGAAATATTGGAGGAAATTCCCCTCCGAGAAGAATCCTCTCTGTCCTGAGCTGGCCACGTCTGTACTCTCCAGAGAAGGCGGCATCACAGCCCACTCAACCATCACTCAGCCCAGTTACAGAACATTCTTCAGATTTCTCAAGCAACGCCAGCCCTGACTCTGACTTGCTGGCCACCCAAGGACTTTAAACAAAAGAATATGACCACCGACACAGACTCCAGCTCCTCCCTCTGACAACATGTGTCCAATGGTTATGAGAACAGGGACTCGGCACAGGGCTAACGTCCCCCTCATCCCAGCTTCTGTGACATCACCTGATTTCCCTCCACACAATGCAGCTGACTTTCAAAGAAGAATAAGGGAGACTTGCAGGTGTTTTAAATTTGGCAGTATGAGTCCCCCTATTAGAAGAGAATGACACCGAGTGACGTGTTTCGTGTTGCTTTGGCTTATGCCACGGTCACCCTGGCTCCACCTTGGAAAGCTTTCCTGGAGATCCTATGAGGCTACAGAAACATCCCGCCACGTGAGAAACAAATGTCCCCCAAAACGCAACGTAACACAAACCACCAATCCCAACACCCTTCTCCACCTACCTGGGAAAGCGTGTGGATTGGGGGACCCTCTCTTAAGGCACTTAGAACAGAGGATATGCACAGTGTAGTGCAGTCCAGGCCATTCCTGAAGTAGGACATTCAGTTCCTCTACCAAAGGGGTGATGGCTTGCCACGCGGTCCATATATTTGGTAATGATGCATGGCTAGCAATAGACAGGGTGTCTGGCTGCAGGACCCCCTTGGCGGGTCGGTAACTCACCACCACAGGAACTTTCCCTCTATATGCAAAGATCTGAAATTTCCCATCCGACCTGTGCACCACGTGACTGTTGATCTGGACACTGTAGCGGGCAAACAATCCAGGTGGAAAGGTAAAGGGAAAACTATATTCGATCTGCAACTGTTCGGCCACAAAAGACTGCCCAGCTAGGTTGGTCCCATTGATCCAGGCCTCTGCGTGGGGCACCTCATTCTGGACGTAGCATGGGAACTTGTACCAAGCTGTGGAGCCATTCAAAGGCTTGCCTTTGGGTTTATTGAGGCAGTAACACAGTCCCATCTTCTCCAACAGCTCCAGTAGGAGCTGCAAGTCCTGCGGGGCCTGGACATGAGGCTTAAGCAGCAACCGAATGACATGGGCTGGAAGGAGCCCATGCAGCAGAAAGCCTTCCACATAATGATGAAGCTGGGTAGCCCGGAGTGGATCCTGACCCGGGGTGGGCACCGCTACAGTGGGGAAGCCTTCCCCCTCTCCCTCGCCCTCTCCACTGGTCCCCAGGAGCAGTTTATGCAGCAGCAGTGAAGCATCTCTCTGGAAGAAGACATTGAGGATGTCAATGAGGCGGGTGAGGTTGTGGAAGACATGCTCCTTGAGGGCCGGGCTATCCTCAAAATAGAGCAGCTTGCCGCTCTCATGCAGGTAGGAAAGCGCACTCTGCAGCCGGTCCTCCGTCAGCCCTGCCTGCAAACCAAGGCGGGCAGAGTCCCACCAGCTCAGCCACAGTCGCTGTGCCTGAGGCGGCTGGAAGTGCAGCTCCTCCAGCACCTGCCAGGATCGAGGCAGGACTCTGTGTAAGTTGGGGAAGATTTCTCGGTGCTCAGCTACAGAGAGCAGCTTGTCGCGAAGGCGTTGCAATTGGTGGGGGTCCCTGCAGCTCACAGGCAACACGGGAGAGAGGATCTGCAACCGGTGGTTAAGCAGGTATTGAAAATGGGCCTTGCGCCTCCGAAGGTTCTTGTCTGAAACGCCGTAGTAGGCCGCGTGGGGGCTGGCAGAGCGCAGCTCGAAGTCCCGAGCCAGGGCTTCATCTACTATCTTGGCTAGACGACTTAGGCCCTCTGCATCGTGCTTCTCCTGGACGGCGATCTGGCGGTGAATGTCCAGACACTTTTCCTCAAGCTCCCGCTCCCCACACAGGTCCGCGTGCGTGCCCACAATGCACACCACGGCGTGAGGCACCCGGGCCCCCACCCGATGCAAGAAGGTGCCCACAGTAGTAGGAAAGCAGCGAGGTTCATAGGTGGCCAGGTTGACCACCAGCACATACAGGGCTCCTGGGGAGAGGAAGAAAGGCTGTATCACTTCATAGCTTTCATCACCAGCCAAGTCATACACAGTGAACCGCAGGCCCCGGGAGGCATCCGCAGTCCAGCTGGTCACCTCGATGCCCTTGCTCCCAAGGGGAGGGAAAAGTAGGTAGCTCTTCTCCTTGTCCCCTCCTCCTTGGTCTCCCTCCACTTTATCCTCAGTGAGGCAGTGTCGGAGCAGGGTCTTTCCTGCAGCCTTGTGGCCCATCAGGAGCAGCTTGAGGCGGGGCTGCACCGCTGGCTGCGAATGAGCCAATTCCTTCTGGTAAGCTGCAATGTAGGGGATTCCCTTCATGCAGACTTCGTAAGGGGGCTGAATCAGTGGGTTGTCCTTGATTTTCCACAAGCCCACCCGGGAGAGTTGGCCAAAGTTGTCGGGCAGGACAGCGATCTGGTTGCCCTGAAGCACCAACTCCTCCAGGCCAGTCAGCTCCACAATGGAGTCCGGCAAGTAGCGGATGCGGTTATTATCCAGCCACAGGGTGAGAAGCTTGCCCAGCCCGGCGATAAGAGATGGCACTGAGGTGAGCTGGTTGCGACTAAGGTAGAGCTCCTCCAGACCAGCCAGGGGCAGCAGCGCAGCAGGAAACTCCTCAAAGAGGTTGGACGAGAGGTTGAGCATTTTGAGCCTTTGCAGGCGGCTGAACTCGGCGGGCAGAGCCTGCAGCCCGTTGTTGTCTAACATGAGGCTCTCCAAACTGGCCAGCTCGCAGAAGCCGCCGGGCAGGGTGCCAAGCTCGGCCCCACTCAGCCAGAGGATCTTGAGGGCACGCAGAGCACTGATATCCTCAGGTAGGCCTCGCAGCCGGTTGCTGGATACGTCCAGCTCCTCCAGGGCAGCCAGCTGCAGCAGCTGCCTGGGAAAGGCGGTGAGTTGGTTGTGGTCCACGTCGAGGGTGCGCAGGTGGTTGAGGCAGGAGAAGGAATCTGGCAGATGCACTAGCCGGTTGAAGCTGACATCCAGCTCCTCCAGGTGGGCGAGGGCACCCAGCTGGGCAGGCAGAGCTGGCAGCTGGTTGTGGCTCAAATTGAGCTTGCGCAGCTCCCTTAGGGCGCTCACCACCTCGGCACCCAGGACTGTCAACCGGTTGTGGCTCACGTCCAGCTCCGTAAGGTGATGGCCTAGCTCCGCCACTGCAGGGGGCAGCCGGGCAAAGCGGTTCCTGCGCAAGACCAAGACGCGAAGGCTGCCCAGAGCCGACCCCAGACCTTCAGGCACATCCTCCAGGCCGTTGTTCCCCAGGTTCAGCACCTCAATGTCCCCGATGTTGGCCGGCAGCACCAGCTGGGGGGCGTCGGAGGACTCGAGTGGATCGCCTCCGGCCCCCGGGCAGCTGAGCGTGAGCTGGCGCAGGTTGCTCCGCAGCTTCCTGGCGCGCAGGGCGGCGTCCCGCCACAGTCTCACGGTCTTCAGGTTGCCACTGTCCTTGCCAGCCATGGCGGGGCCCCGCGCCGACAACCCTCACGCCGGCACCGGAGCCCACAGCTGCATGCCGCGCTGCACCCCGGCCGGCGCCCGGGCCCTCTGGCTCCCGATGCTCCCGGGCCACCACCCCTGCGCGGCCGGCGGCCGTGGGTCCTAGCGCAGCCAGCGGCCGGGCGCCCGCAGCTGGGGGGCGGCGGCGACGCAGGCAGCTCTGGGGGGCTCCGGGCAAGCGGCGCGGAGCTGGGCTGCGGCCGCGCAACGCGGCTCGCATTCTCCGTGCTCCCGAGCCATGGGCGCGCCGGGCGGCAGGGCCGCCGCCCGCCGCGCCGCGGAGGATGCCTGCTCCTCTTCCAGCTCCGCCCGCCTCGCGCCGCCTGGGTAGCCGACTCCAGCCCCGCTACCCTCGCAGCGGCGGTCCAGAGGCCGGCGGCGTCGCCTCCGCTAGCTGCTGGAGGAGGGCAGCGCTCGGCTCCCCTGCCGGCATGCTGCGGGCGCAGGGCCGGGGCGCCGGGGGGCGGCGGCGTCTCCTTGTCTCCGTTTCCCCGCGGCTCGGGCGGGAGCGCGAGCTCCGCGTCCCCGGCGCTGGCAGGGCAGGATCGGAAAGCTACAGCGCCGCCCGGTGGAGCGGCCCCCACGTGACCGGCGGAGGGCGCCGCTTGTTCCCGGCACCGCCCCGGGGGCGGGAGTTGCAAGGGAGCGCAAACTGACAGGCTTGGGGGTGTCTTGCATGGTGGGGTTAGTGGCTGGGACCTTGTCCCTCTGTGAGGCTCACCGGATGGGATCTTCAAGGTTGGTGTGGGGCTCTGGGGTCCTCGGGTTGGGCTGCCCTGCATCAGGCTCTTTGTTGGCCCTAGGTCTCTAAGGATTTCTTAACCATCCCTAACGCCTAGGATTTATCTGACTTCCGTACTCAGACTCACTTTCCCTTCCCTACACCCTACACCCACACAATTATGTAACAGGCAGAATTCAGGGACCCATTGCCAAAGGAGCTTAGAACGAGAGGATGGTTAAACAAAAGGCAGATAGATGAGAGTGGACAATCTTCAATCCATTTGATAGACAGTTACTGGAGCCCGTGTGTACTAGGTCAACTAAAGCTCATATTTCAACTGCCCTGGTTTGAGCCAGCACCTCTCTGACCTGCTGTGGATGGTTGAGGGTCAGAGGTAATGCAGGATGTCTTGTTTGGGCTCTCCCATTTAGCGTCACAACTGCATGAAACATGCTACCTTTTGACTCCGACATTATTGCTCTGGGGACTCAAAAAAAATGATGGTGGTATCACATATTTTCGCTGTGCTCAATTTGGGTTTGTTTTCCATTAAGAGGAAGTTGGTCTGAGATCATATCTATACTAAGTAATCTCCTCTGAACTTATCAAAGCCATGATACCCATCAAAGACCATGGGTATCACCTCCAACATTGCCTCATGGGTGGTTCATCCCCTTCTCTGAGGAGCCGTTGGCAGGTAATGGCTGGTTGAAAAGGATAGTCACGTTCATTGAGGGCGTGGCCTCCGATAGGTTGCCAATGCAGTTGGTCCCACCATGCAAATAAGGGTAGCACTAATTGGATTCTATAGAGTCTAGACAGCAAAGAAGGAAAGACAGAGGAGAGGAAGAACATGAAGTCAGGATGGAAAAGGGGATGAGAGAGTTGAAGGGAAAAATGGAAGGAAGTAATTATCGATATTCATTGTATACATGTATGAATTTCTAAAAAAAATAGATACAAGAGATTTTTTAAGTAACCCAATAGTTTTCAGCCTCAGGGATTTGAATTGAATTGGTTAAATCCACTGCTTGCCACACTCTAGCTTTACTCCGTACACATAGAACATATACGTGTTCAGCGTGTTTGTTTCTTCCAAGAAAGAAACTGACAGAACAGCCACCCCAATGATAATTAATCACCAAGTCCTGGGCAAGCATCCTGTAATACGAATGCAGAGGCTCACACCTTTAATCCCAGCAGTTGGGAGGCTGAGGCAGGTGGATCTCAGTGAGTTCAAGGACAGCCTGGTCTACAGGGTGAGTTCTGTGACAGCAGGACTACACAAAGAAACCCTCTCTTGTAAAACCCAAGGGGAGGGAGGGAGGGAGGGAAGGAGGGAGGGAGGAAATGAAGGAAGGAAGGAAGGAAGGAAGGAAGGAAGGAAGGAAGGAAGGAAGAAAAAGGAAAGGGCAGTCCCAGGATTAGTCTTGGATACTTCAGGTAAAACTAGTAATTTGGTAGTCAATATTTATCTGCATTTACTCTGAAGGACTTCCTGAGAAACTGAACACTGGAAGATTCCAATATTCTCTTAGAGCTGGTGGTGGTGGTGGTGATGATGGTGGTGGTGGTGGTGGTGGTGGTGGTGGTGGTGGTGTGTGTGTGTGTGTGTGTGTGTGTGTGTGTGTGTGTGTGTTCTAAATCATGGAGGCTGACCCTTTTGTTTTTCACAGAGATAGGAAAGGCCTCAAAGACATTAAGCAATTTATAATCTGCCAGTAAATATTAGGAAGCCTGCACTTGAGCACCCCCCCATGTTCATGAGTGTGATCTCTGAATCTTCTGCTTTTAATAAATGTAATAATCTGAAGTTTTGCCTGAGGAGGAAACTCAGGCAAGACCTCAGTGCCCCGATGCATCTTAAATAGCTCTACATCGGTCCTAAAGTGGTTTAGATTGCATCTAAAAAGCCCTTACTAAGCTGTTGCCCTTTGGAGCCATCAGAGCATTAGTATCCTTCCATTATAAATGTCTTCAGAAAACTCTTCTCCCTTTGATCTCAGAGAATCTGTTTGTTTATGTGATAAAGAATGCTGAGTGGGGTCCAGCCTGTCAGCCTTTAGGTATGCCCCCTCCCAAATCTGGCATAAATGAGGTAAGTTAGCCTGCAAGGAACTATTTTCTACTTGCCAAGTCCTTCAAGATCCCTGTGGCAAGAGAGACCCCCCACATCCCCATCCCAACACAGCTCTAGAGCTGGAACCGAGGGTCTCAGGCATGTGAGGGAAAGTATCTTCCTGGAGCCCAGATAATACAGCGGAAGTTTGGGAGATGCCTGTTCCAGAGTTCCAGGAAGCTGTGTGTGTCAGTGCATGCCTGTTACCCGAGTATCTAAGGACCTAAAGCGAGAGGATTTAAAGTGTGAAGCCAACTTGGGCTACTTGGTGTTTCAAATAAAGAAGAGAATGGAGTTCTTTGGAAGCCAGTCTACTGAAAACTAAAATGGCAAACCGAGAGAAAGAATGTTTTAAATAACAGAAGGGAGGGAGGGAGAGAGGAACTGTGTTATGTATAACTTCTGCCATGCACACCCATCCTGACCTCCTGAGCGCATGCTCCAACTCCAAGTGGTTAATTTTCTGACATGCCCCTCTGCCTTCTAGAACATTTTAGATATGAAAGACCTTAAATTTCAGATGCCATCAGCTTCCAGCCTAGATGGGGAGTTTGGGTCTGGGATTTCCCCAAAGGCTCACATGCTAAAGGATCCGTCCCTAGCCTGGCACTATTGGGAGGTAACATTATGAAATGAGACATGGTTAGACGAAGCGGGGTCCTTGGGACTGTGTCCTCAAAGAGAAGAGTGGAACATCACCCCTCCCACTCTCTCTCTTTCACATGCCAGCTTCCATGAAACGAGCACCCTCCTGTCACCTGCCCCCCTCTCTGATACCCTGCTTTGCTGAGAGCACAAAATCCAGCAGTACCAATTGATCTTGGAATGGACCAAAGTAAAGCTTTTCCTTTGGTAAATTGACCGTAGCAACTGTCAGTGGTAATAACTGGAAGTTGGCTAACACAAATTGGATGAGGCAGTGCTTTCTGCCCCTTCAGGAGGGACCAATCGTGAGCTCATCCTGAGGCCTAGGGATGAACATGGGGCATCACTAGCTGTGTGCCCACATGGATGGAGCCCAGGTTAGGACAAGTAGGAGCCACATTTGCTAGCATGAAGTAGCATGTATACACTTAAGCACATGGAATGTGGGCCTCTGTAGCTACTCCCACATCCTGCAAATGGGGTGCTTCTCCTCGCTCCCTTTTCAGAACACAGCAGTCTCAGTTTGGCAAAGGAAGACTGACTATTGGAAGTTTGTCTGATGCCGTGGATCCAATCCATGAACGTTCTAAAGCCTTCCAGTGTTGGTCTTTTTGTTTAACTTGCTTCTCTTCCACTGACAGTCAGCCCTGGGGCAGCTGCTTTGTGGATACAGTGACATCCCATGAATGGAGTCTTGGCCTAAAGTTTGGGGCATACAGTCTGTTCAGGGATGGAGGGAGAGAGAGAGAGAGAAACAGACAGACAGACAGAGACAGACAGACAGAGACAGAGACAGACAGAGAGACAGAGACAGAGAGACAGACAGACAGAGACAGATAGAGAGACAGAGAGAACGTAAGGCAGTGTCTTCAGCAAGGCCATGGAGATGTGCCTAAACTGACAGGAGCATCCTGGGCATCCCAGATAAAGATTGTCCATTTACATATCTGTCAATGCCAGACTGAATGACAGCCTGCTCTTATCCCTAAATAAGACCAGCCACAAACACCAGTTGCGAGTTCCCATCCTGTCTTCAGCATAGTTGACTCTCTTCCATCATGACAGATTTCTCTCTTGGTCTGACTCACACCCAGACTGAAGTCTCCTTGTTCCACTCCACAAGCTCCATCTCCATCTGGTCATCAGACTTGCTCTCTCAGAGGCCGCTTCATCCTTTCCTTTCCTGCAAATACTTATTATTGAAATGGGAAACTTCTTTTGGATACTGGTTTCTTCCCTTCTATAGAGTATTTGGTGTCCTATTACAGTTGAGGTTTTTTTTTTTAAGAACCCTATCAGCATTAATTATTTCCTCCCAGGGATCAAGTTTGCAATTGGAGTAAGTGCTACCAAATGACTGAAAATACAGAGACAACTGACCGGGATTCCCTGAGACACAGGGAGAGCTTCTTAGGAGAGAACTCATCATCCTGCCTTGCCTGGTCACATTATTCTACCTGCATTAAGAGGCATGAGTCTAAAACTCAGTTAAGCACACTCTGCCATAGAATTCTAATTTTGCCAGTAGCTATTCAACCTTTTTGCTGAAGCGACCTAATGTTCTGGTTCACACAAAACTATGGGGTTTCCCACAATGAGAGACATTCTGGGCTCAAAATCAGGCGACCTGGGATCGGAGTACAGCTGCTTCACCTACTGGGTCTTTAAAGGCAGCTATTTTTTTTCTGCTTTAGGAGTTCCAGAAAACATTGTGCCCCAGAAATGCAGCTCCTCCACTTCATTCAACAAATTTAGGCTCTCCCAATAGTTCTGATTTCACTGACTCAGCGGCTTTGGAGTGCCGAAGTAAAGGTACCCATGGCTGGAGGTTCTGGCTAGCTTTGGAGTATGGAAAGGACCTGCCTGGTCTTGAACTCCCCCTGGAAGTCTGGGAAGAGTGGCTACTGTGTCTCTTTGCAACAAGCTCTGAACTTTTTAGGATGAAGGTCTTTTATCTGTTTCTTTCCCTCTTCCTGTTTTTCCTCAGACAGCCTTCATTTCTGTAACACCAAAATAAAATGGAGATGGTCTATTCAAAATGGTGGAGGTGAGGTTATCTGTGC